TTTAATTTATTTATTCACTTATTTATTTATTTATTTCTTTGCTTATTTATTTATTTTTTTTTTTATTTAATTTTTATTTATTAATTTATTTATGAAGAGGTTTCGAAAAGTAGTGAACTACAACAACAAAAATTAATTTTATATTATTTTAATTAATTAAATTTTTGGCTGACCATACGGCTATTTCGAATATTACCAAATACCCATCATCAGTGGTTTCGGAACTATTTCTAGTTTTTAATTATTCGTAAATAAGTTTTTAAGACTGCAAGTAGCAGGGATTGAACTCGTGGTGTTTACTTACTTTTTTAATAAATAAATAAATTTATTAAATTATTTTTTTTTATTTAATTCTTATTTAAATTTTATTAATTTACTTATTTAATTTTTGTTTATTTATTTACTTATTTTATTTTTAATTTTTATTTAATTGTTATTTATTTATTTATTTATTTGATTTCAATTTATTTTTTTATTTTGTATTTATTTTTTTCTAAATTTAATTTTTATTAATTTATTTATTTGTATATAATATATATATTATATTATTTCGTTTCTATTTATTTTTGTATTCATTCATGTATTTTTGTATTTGTATTCATTTATCCGGTAGCTTTGCCATTGATGTGGATACTTGACGTTTTATATATGTTTTGGGTCCTCCTTTTATTTCTTTTTCGACGGAAATTTAACTGGGGGCTATACATATCAGCGATTCTAATGCAACAAGTAGCTTTATTTCCATCTCTGCACGTTATATTTGAATCACGGCATTAATTTTGCTTGTCTTACCAGTGCATCCCTAAAAAAGAGCGTAGTCGTGTCATATGGGTGGATCTATTTATTAATAAGTTATTTTTTGTGAATATAGTTGTGGATCTAAGCCGTCTCACTATACGTTTGGGTATTTCAAATTTTGGTAATGATTATTTCATTTAAATAAGCTTTTTTAAATTATTTTTGCTCGTCAGTTTTTTTATAGTATAATTTTATAGAATTCTGTGTAACTCTTTCCTTTTGTTAATTCTTTTGCTACGCCCATGTTCCTGTCGATTGCAGAACTAAATATTCACTTATTTATAACTACGATAAAAAATCATTGAGTTGTCCTTAAGTTAATGGCACAATTTAAAATTTTCCGAGTTAATGCATCTGGACACTTTTACTCTTTGATAGCTGGGCGATTTCTGCAAAGTCCCACCCATAATTTGAGTATTCCTCATAATCTTCGTGATTATTCAATGACTGATCTAAGATCTGCATACCGCCCCGTGCGGTTAACCTGTCGGTTTTTGCATATAACTTCAGAGCTCTGTCCCTTATGTGTTTTTTGACCGGATCTCTTTAAAGGTCTCTTAGCATGTCATTCGTGCGGATGTACCATGACATTTTGAAGAGCTTTCGGAGAGCTTGACTTTGAGCAACTTATAGCTTCTGGATAGTAGAGTCGGCAGCTTTGCCATATGCGATACACACATAAAGTAGTGCTGGTCTAATTATCTGGCTGTAGATCAGCTTTCTGTTCTTCACACTAAGGTTGTTAAGTGGTTGTAAGCATTGCACTGTATGTCACAGTGATGAATTTTCAATGCAAACTATTCACTGTACTTTGTTTTACCTAAGTCTAGAGAGTCGTAGTAAATCGTGTTTGTGGTATTTAATTTGTATTGACAATTAAAATTTGTAAAATAGGTTTTAGATGACAACTAAGATAAGCAAAAGATTTTGTAATTTTATTGGGCGTTTCGGTTGTTGCCAACATATTGGCAACTTAAGTATTTAATGCAGCAAAAAACGCTTTAGATGGAGGCAATAAACCTAGTTAGAGCGATGTTTATTGTGCTACAAAACTCAATTGTTGTATACAAAAAATGCATTTAGGATCTTTTCCGTTTTAGTAACCATTCACAATTTTAGTTTGAATCGTGGTAAATATTATTATTAGTCATGAAACATTATATCACAACTCTAAAGCCTGAGGTTAAATATAAAAGCGAAATTATTGCGGTTCAAGCTGATTGAGTTGATTGAGTTGATAGAGTTGAGCGTGTCATAATGAGAAGTGACGCGAAAACTTGCCGTTATGTATTGTTATGCTAATTCTGTTAATTTAGAAAAATGTACCTGGCGCTTACGCATTTATTGGCGAGTACAACTTCAACTTCGTGGACTCACTCCAAAACGATAAAAGCAGTCAGATACCGTCAAACAACTTAGTCAACAAAGCAACCAAACGAACCCACTGAAGCTAAAATCAAAACAAAACAAGTTGAACCAAACACTAAAGTCAAGTCGGTTTGAAGACAGTACGACTGTGCAGAGCAGTCAATGACATTTCGTTTAAGGCGGGCTCGCTTATATGTATTTCTTTTATGACTGCTTCAAGAGTCTATCCATTTATTTATTACTCGTACGTTCACAAGTATGAAATTGTGCTGCGGCTCTACCGCAAATGTTGACACAGTTTTGAGCCGAGTCTTTTCACAAGAAAACGAAAAATGAGTTTATTGGGTCAGTTTCAGTATTCAGTATTCAGTTTTGTAATACCCGTCTGTTGTGAACAGGAGTGTGGAAAAATAATAAATATCAGCAACAAAATAGTTACTTACGATTTCGGCTCCAATTTCATTTTCAATTCCAACGAAGTGGAAAGTGAATGCGGGAAATTCATAATCGCACAAGATATTTAACTTTTTATAGCTACTACGAAACATATATATGTATTCCATTTCAATGGGTTTTACAGAAATACACAAATATGGTACGTACCGATCGTTATGTGAGTCTACTACTGGAAGTCCAATGGCAAAAGCATTTTACTCTTCGCAGGTGTAATTACGTATAAATACTATTTGTTTAAATTTTTATGAACAATAATTAATGTTTGCTAAATCCATAACCCATATACATCACATCATCTGGCTAACAATAGAAGGAATCAATTTTCATAAATTTAGTCAGTTGTGTTGCCAAATAATACAATTAAACTGAATTATAAATATCATTCAAGCAATTTATTGGACTATAATAATAATTAATTTAATTAATCTCTGTTTTTAGAAAAAGCTGATGTGAATATATCGCCGACGTTTCAAAGTTGGTTTAACTTCTTCCTCAGAGCGAAGTATTATTACAACCACTCTTGGAAACATATACGACGATTATTTATGTTAGAATCTATTTATAAATTTAGTTTTAATTAATAAAAAATAAATTTAATACAATATGCAATATATAAACAATATACAATCGTATCATCGTAAAATATACAAATATCACATACAGTTGTTTAAGCGAGCTTATAAGCATTCGAAATAGCAGTAGATAATGAAAATGAATTCCTCAAAATTCTCTTAAGCCCATTATGAAGAAATTATCAAATACTCTTCACATTAATAACAATATTATCAATATAAAATCTAGAAAGTTTGTTCAATTAAATTATAAGACATTCAAAAGAGTATTTCTCTTTGGCCACTTTTATAAATGTACTTAAGAAGAACTAAGCTACTGTTTCACTTTTACTTAAGTGAAATGCAAAACAACACAGAAACTATACTCCCAACCAATTCACCTAAAACCTATATTAAAAAAAAAAAAATTAAAATACGCTTAAAATCTTACTTATAGTCTCACTTTTCAGTCTTCAGAGGCTACAGAAGATAAAGAAATCGAGATGCTTCAAAACCGGAATAATACCCGTAAGATTGGTATCTAGCTTTGGATATACAGATTATACTGAAAATATGTAAAGAACATTTCTCTTAACTAAAGATTTTTGGTTCTTGAGAATCGGTAGTTTCCACCATCTTCCTAGAACGAAATGTTTGTTTTAATACAGTGTCTGAAAAACAGCAGGCACATTACCAATCCGATAGTAATGTGCTAATAGGGAAAATGACTAGATATTTACACTTTGACAAGTTCTGCGAATAGTATACTAACATAACATGACAAAAAATATATGACAATGGAAATGCAGAACTCTGACAATGTTTTATTATGAACAATTGAGTCATTCCAAGAGCGGTCGGGTCTACGTGAAGAGCCACTTATTGCCAGCAAGAACCAAGGGACAACACTTCCCAAAAGGACTTAACAAGCAGGTCCCAGCGAGTCACATCATCAATTAACAACATCAATTAAGTAAATAAGTGATTATTAAATAAAATATATATATTGCTATAATTCACATAGAATATTTTTACAATATTTTGAAAAAAACAATTGCAAAAAATATGAGAAACAATATAAAATAGTTTTATTGATCAAATCAATAAGTTAAATTAATCTACTGATCAATATCCCTGTCTAGCTATTTACTCAATGAATGAAATTAAGTTTTGCTTTTTAGTTGCAATACGTCCTAGACTTTACAATGTCATCCTAGTGTGTGCAGAACACAACTATATTGTATATAACTATGTCTCTCAAATGTTTTAGTCAACATGTGTACATTCATTTATTTCGATAACTCCAACGTACGTGTCGTGAAATTGTAAACCTATAAATTAGCTAACATCGCTGATATATGCCTAATATTGAATAGGAACCTAAAGACATCAAACAATCCGAATGCACAAATCGCCATTAATAAAGAATTGTTTACATACAAAGCCAAATCTCAGTACCCATTTTCATACGACTAACTATCTAAATATTGTATATTAATATAAATCACTTTAAGTGTGCACTGAACTAACTTAATGTTATAATATGTATTTTCTTTCTGGTCACAATTTACCTATGTTACGATCGACTTATGACATAAGTATTATTGAACTATATTTCATTTGTTCCGATATTAAAAATGGTCTTAAAGTCTAAATGGTCTTCTTATTGTCTTCATAGGACATGTGGGGACTCACATGTTATAAATGCGAAGATTATAATACAATGCCAATATAATTTTGTAATAATAAAATTCTAATAAATAATTTATAATAATGATTTAAAGTTAAGATGACATTTTATATAAATGTATGTAATTTGTAATGCACTTACTTGATATATGGTATATTTGCTGGAATATGAAATTTTGCTCCTGCGTCGAAATCTTTTTCTGATCGAAGCACTGGTGGCTTAATACCACCATAACGTTCTCTGAAAATCAAGTTTTTTTAATTATTAAAGTTAGTCTTATTACATAAAAAATTAATACATAAATTTTTTTAAAAATAAATACTAAAGTCGAAATTAATTTAATTTAACCAAAAATATCACTACATTTTATCAAGATATGTGTACAAAATCTTAAATATGTCCACACCTTGAGGAAATGATCAAATATAGCTCATGTCCAATTAAAATTACATGAATTTTATTGATCACGTAAGGCATACAAAGTAGTTTAAGGAAAAAAAATATAAAAACCCGATGGCATAATCAACTGGAATTGGATTAAATTACTTCTGTAAAAACAAATATTTATCAAATATTATTATAAATATTTTGACCACTAAAGTCAAATTAAGGATATAAAATAATTGATTGAAATATTTAAAAATTCCAGAAACTTTATGATTTTCGATTTTTTCCACTGAAAAAAACCTTGGTTTCTAATTTATTGAAAAATTCTTAATTACACGTAAGGCAAGTTATTCTATTCAAGAGTAAATTAATTTAAAAATAGGTAAGAATTAAATAAATACAATTGCACTAATAGAAATCATTTTGCTTGCAGATACATATACACAGTCGAATCCCGATAATCTGAAATCGCAAGGGAACAACATTTTTTACGACTTAGTGGGGCTTTCGAATTTACAAGGTTTCGATTTAACGAGTTTAAAAAAGAAAAAAAATACGAATTAACGGTGCTTTTACATTTCAGTTGATATTCATACATTTTATATATATTATATTATAGATAATAGATAAATAATCCAATTTACATTTGTATTTACATCCTACGTACTATTAATTAATAAAAAAATAAAAACATAAAAATTTATATAAAGAAAGATCAAGTTTTAATTTTAAAAAAGTTGGTAATTATTAATTGATTCAGATTCATTTCGCCTATATCTTCAAATAATTTTTCCAAACTTTATAAACAATAAAAAACATTTTTTTTGACATCATGATTTGAAACAGATTATTGTAGTTGTTGAATGGCCAATTTGACTTATTTATTCGTTATAGTTGTGCCTCACCGACAATGTCATCCTCATCGCTCTCATTATTAATAGGCGCACCTTTAGACATTATGTAAACATACCAGATACAGCCACGTCCTTATCAATGTTCACGTAATCATCAAAAAGGGTGACATTTTTAAAGTTCTTACGTTCCCATAGATAATCTATGTTGAATTGTTCGACTTGACTGCTTCCGCAAGCCTAGAAGCAGTTTTAAATGGAAGATCTGCTGGCACAATTCCACGCTTTATAAGCAATTTGCATTCCAGTAAATAGTGTACAACCCATTATGCGCTGTAGAATTATCCATAAATAACCAGTTTCTTTCGATATCTAGTTTTCATGCTATCATTCAGCATCTGAAGCCATTCGTTAAATAGATCCATTGCCTTCGACGCCTTCTTATAATGTCAGTAAAGCATTGAAAAGCTTAATGTTCATTGAATTTCAAATACAGTACGAATTAACGAGAGGACCATAATGTATGAAAATATTACAAATTAATGAGGTTTCTTCAAGGGACCAACAGTTTGTTAGAAATTATTGAGGTTTTCGATTTATAGGGGTACGATTTATCGCGATTCGACTGTATAACCATCAAAAATATTGAGCATTTAAAAAACTAATAAAGTTAAGCACTTAAAACGAAATTTTAAAAATCTAAATTCCCTATATGTTCGAACATTTTAATATTAAACTTACCTTAAGTCCCAAAAATGGCAATTCATCATATGCTTTCTAATACGGCCACTGAATAAGTCATATCGCCAATTATCTAACGCCAATGCAAAAGGTAAAAATGCTACCTATAAAGAATAAAATTTTACACATTTGTATATAAAAGTACAGCTTTTAAAATATAATACCTTATCAATAGCCATGGTGAAAAGATAATTTATATCATAACTAACATCATCGACAGAACGTTGTAGCAGTCCAAGCGTTTGAAAATGTTTAGGAGTTGCTATAGAGAGACCAATAGCGTCTCCAATTGCTTGATGAAATGCTAGGAAAAATAAATAATATAAATATATATAAAAATATACACATGAACTTAATGAAAAACACCAACCTGGATTGGCACCGTTCCGAAATATTTTCGGTAGATGTCTGTATTGTAGGAAATATTGTATATGAGCCATTTCGTGATGTACACTTATTAGACTTTTTTGATTGATTTCTGTACAAATTTTTACACGAAAATCATGTCGATTGCAGAAATCCCATGCAGATGGTTCACACAAAACTCTACGATCCAGTGGTTGCTCAAAAAGGGAATTTCGATAAAATTCAGGTCCCACAGCGGACATATTAATTGAAGTAAAGAACTCTTCAGCTAATTGAAACATAAGCAGTGGCGTGTAACCTTGCTCAAGCATTCGTGGTGTAACATCAATTAATTTACGTCCTGGATATGGTATAATTAAATCCAAAACATTTGACCATGATTGTCCAAACATATTGCCTAGTATATGGCCTGGTATGGGTGCAATGCGATTGATTCGATCAGGTCCATAATAATCACGTAACTTGCGACGAACATATGCATGAAGACTTTCATAAAGTGGACGTATTTGCTCCCAAGCAATTTCGACATCCTGTCGAAAATTGCCAGATTCATAAGCAAGAAACCAGTATTCTCCGCCATTAGTGACATCTTATTAAAAAAAACAACAAATTTTAATTAAAAATAATTATAATAATATTAATATATAAAAAGATTAATAAAATCTTCCCATAACAATTTTTCACACTTACTATTTGAATAAGCCACCTCATTCATAACATCAATTAGTTGCTCATAGCCATCACGCATTTCACGACCCGCTTTGCGATGATATTCTACCCATGTATGCTGCAATTCATCCCAATCACGACTTCTAGCCATAATTTCTTTAAGATCAGGTATATAGTGCAAATTACATTGAAAAGGCTGCTGATAAGCACATATACTTGCACCATTGTAAATAAACAGCATTTCATTAATAAGTCGATTATACTGAAAGCAAATAAAATAAGTGATATTAATTTATTAATCTCTAAGGAGTTTTAAAAAAAATTCTAAATATTGCATCAAGATTTATAGTATATATGAAGTGAAAATATACTAAATACTCTTATATATATATATTTAATGGGGTTAAACTGAATTCCATACTTAGAAAATAAAAACCTGGGTTCAAAAAAAACAAAGATTGGGTGCTGATCTCTTCGTATACTCATATACGAATATATTTCAAATAATAGTTTGAATAATAAGTGATATTAATTTATTAATCTCTAAGGAGTTTTAAAAAAAATTCTAAATATTGCATCAAGATTTATAGTATATATGAAGTGAAAATATACTAAATACTCTTATATATATATATTTAATGGGGTTAAACTGAATTCCATACTTAGAAAATAAAAACCTGGGTTCAAAAAAAACAAAGATTGGGTGCTGATCTCTTCGTATACTCATATACGAATATATTTCAAATAATAGTTTGAGATCACATTACTTCTGAGATCACATTACTAAAAAATTCAAATTTGTGAATACTCAGTTAAACACCATAGTTCTCCTTTACAGCCTTTTTATACAAATGTTCCTCAGATCTATACATACTTTCACCAATTCTGTTTTTGACAATAATTGTCAATGAAAAAAACAAAATCTTAGCGTGCAACTATAGAAGAACACACTCATCAATAGGTAAGTTACAGAGTTACTTAATCATTTCACCACAGAAAGCTTTTATGAATTTTACCATAGATTAACAGTCCTCCATACAGATGCAATATCCTCTTCGAGACCATGGTCACACGATAACTAAGTTCTGAACAAGCCTTCGCCTGAAATCTACCGAGGAAACAAAGTCTTCCTCGAGTATAACCAACTATCGTAGCTTAATTAAGTTAGGCTATAGCTATGTGCTAAACAGCTATTGGTCACGCATAAAAACGTCAATTTTCAACGTGTGCAAGTAGAACTGCACTACTTTCCATAATATCCATATAATTATATTAGAAATCAAAGTTCACTTAAGTGAACTTTTACTACAATAAATAGGTATTTAGTAATATAACAAGACTTCCAGAGAAATGTGTGAACATAAAAGTCAAAATTGTGCATATGCTCTATCATATATTAATTTATGATATGTATATATATATACGATATGATATATATATGTATATATAGGTATATATATATATGTATATATATTCGCTGAATATTTTAAAGTTAAATCAACAAGTACAACTATGTTTGTTTATTTAAATCTGAAACCCAGTGAATAAAACCAACTTTCAAACAACGGTAAATAAATATTTTTATTATCATTTTTTTAATAATTTTTATTATTAAAATTTTATTGACAAACTGTACCTTAGTTGCGAACTTCGTACGATCATAATTTAAATCAACGTTATACAATTGAATAGACTACTTGCAATAAAAATATAATATTGAACAATATGGCTAGGGCATGAGTTTATGTCCGCCTATGATTCAATGACGAAGAAGACCTAAAATAATGTATGTAAGCAGCTTGGAAAGGAAATATTGAATATGTTGCGACCAATAAAATAAATGGGCATGATTTATCGAAATACTATGCTTTAAAGCATAGAATTCATAATCATATAGAGTTAATAAGTAATAATCAAAAGGTAAGCACCATACATTTGAATAGGTGGCTTTAAGACTCAACTCTAGAAAATAAAATAGTTTTGAACAAAACATCCTGGCAGTTTCTTAGAATAAAATCGGAAAAGAAAATAAACGGAGATATACATTCGCTTTAAAAATAGGAAATAATATATAGTATAATAATATGTATTGTATAATATTATAAAAATAATTAATAAATAAATAATTAACATGATGAATAATAGTATAGGAGTTCACTTACCCTATCTAGTGTATCAAGTGGTAAGGCATTGGGACCAACTTCAGATTGCAACATTAGTTGCCTATATAGGCGTCTATCGAATATAAGATCTCTGTTAACATATTTAGATTGTTCAGCTACTATACGTTGAAAATCAACATAATGTTGTTGGCTATTAAGCTAAAAGAAAAAATTTATTGTTTTAAAATATAGTACATAATATACGAGTATACATATATTTGAATATTATTTATGCATAAATCTGAATATACCCTGTTGAAAAAAACGAAATAAATGTCTATAAGAAATTATATATTTAATATTAAACTATTGCTGACTACTTTAATGACTCTCAAACGAGAATATAGTTAATCTAAAGGACTTACAACCTTAATTTAAGTTAAGCATGTTGTATAACAAATTTTAATAAATTTCAACAAATTTTAAATACAATTAGAACTACTTTAGTATAATATTAGTTTATATATAGTAAATATTTTTTTATCTTGCAAAATAAACAAAAATGAATAATTATTAAATATTATATTATATTTTTGTAGCATTTAATATTTTTATTGAAAAACTGATTGTGCGCTAACTAGTCCGCACGCACTACTCTCAAATTGATCCATGTAAACCCGTTACCGAACAGTAAAGCGTAATTAAAGTACTCACTGCCTATTAACTGGTCCACGTGTACTAAGAATACTTAAGAATAGTTCAAAGTCATGAAGATCGATATAATTATTACTTTTTGCGGAAATGGAAATATGATATATACTACTTACTTTGTGGTTTCAGACTAGTCCTAAATAAGTCCAATTTCTGATAGACTTTTTTCTGAGCATTTATAAGCAATTTAATAATTGTTTGTCTTAAATACATTGTTATAATCATATTAAATTAAAAACGAAGACATAAATTAACAAATTAATATAATAGAAAAGTCTACAGAATGTAAAAAAAAAATGAAGGCTAATTGTGTGAAAAAAATTTTTTACTAAATTTATTTAATTTTTTTAATAACCGAGTTTTTATAATTATTCACTGAACACAATTTAAAGACTAAGCAAAACTTTTTTATTTAAATGAATTTAACTCTGACTATTAATCAACTGTAAAACACCGTTGCGCTTACAAAAAAAAAAACTATACTATACTATTATCGTTATTATATTTAATTGTAATAAACAAATATTTTATTGTTGTAACTATAACAAGCAAATTAATTTACGAGGGCAGTAAATATACCCGCGCGCCTGTCCGTCATCGTCTTCCATTCCTTCCACTAGAACAGGTACCAGAGCCAATATTCAACCGAGTAAAATTTGAACAAAGAAGGAAAGCTTAAAACAAGCAAAACAAAAACAAAGCAAACACATCATTTCATAAATAATTGAGAGGGGACAGCTTTACAGCTTATAATTTCCAACAAAATTAATATAAAAAACATTCTTCACAACAACAACAACAACTCTAATTGCATGTTTCTATTAGAACTACAACAACAAAGCACACAATATTATTTCAATGGATTTACCATTCTTTCAAATATAAAATAAATACAAAAAAAAAAAAGAAATTTGCAAACGGTAATGATAATTCAAAGTATAAAACAAAAGTAGTTGGCAACGCATCATATTTGTTCACAAAATGTGATTTCTGTATTAACCCTTCATTGCTCGATTCTATCAAAAAAATATTTAGTAATATGAATAGCTGGGTTTAGCTCAATAATATCTTAAACGCATACCAAACGGAATTCGCGCTTGCTTTCTGGCATAGATAAAGCTAGCTCGCTAGGTATTAAGTCTATTTTTGCTCCTCTCTCCCCTGATTACTGGAATGAAGTTATCACAATGCTGTTCGAAATCTTCTCCATTCATTCTAAAGAGGTGGTTTAGTGGGTTCAAGTCGCATGCGGTGGTTTTCGATGCTTCCACCTACTGTCAAAAAAAAAAAAACGGATTTCGCAAATCACAATCTGACCTTAGGGGTCACTTAAATTTAAGTAACAATTAGAAAACATATGTCTTTTTTGTTTATGTTATTGTTAATTTAGATTTTAAATAAATTCTATAATTTTTGTAAGTGCTGTATGAATTTTTTGTATCAGTAATAAATAATAATAATAATATTAACCCTTGTGTACAAACATAAACTCTGCCATAATGCCTGAAATACTGAATGTAAGTTTTAATTATATACATGTTTAACTTCATTTAAAAAGTTTAGTTAGAAATTAGAATTATAACTATTAATAGAATCATTAAGTACAGACAAAACTGATTCTTCTATCCTATCTTTAAATACTATTTGAAGTACATTTAACTCATAAGACTAATAGTACATTCCATTGAGTTACAATATGACGGCAGTCTATGTCTATAAGTGGATAATCTCACTTCATCTTAATAGATGGAGAGAGTTGAGAACTTGTAGGGAAACTAAATTCATAATGCCGAAACCGTGGGCCAGGGAAGCGATAAAAGTGCTTAGCTATTCGTGGAGCACTCTAAGTTGGGTGACCTCAATAATTACTGGACATGGCAACTTCAAGTATCACCTCAAAAATATAACTCTTGCTGAGGAAGACACTTGCAGACTATGTCTAGAAAAAAAGGAGACAGCGGTGCTTATAATGTGCCAATATCCAGCACTGGCAAGTAGGAGGAAGACTGTCTTGGGACACCATTGGGTTGGTGATGACTTGGCAGGAAACCTCAAGCTAAATGAGCTGCTTGCATTAACAAAAGATGTAGTTATGCGAACGGAATCCACTCTAGCTTTAACTCAATAACAACATCCGAGAATCGAAGGACGAAAAAGGACCCAAGAAGTTTCGTGGTATGCTTCGACTAATCCTTCGACTCAGTGGGGCCACTTGTAGGACAGTGCGCTGTCCCAACGTCCCACCATATATATAATAGTACATTCACACTGTCTCATTTAGGCACTTGCTCATTTATATTAATAAGGTTACGTTCACATTATAATGCGGTCATTTTTGCAGCTGATAGAACTTTTGAAAAACTTCACTTAATAATATATCACATAAAAAAATTTAATATATAATTGATATATTAAATCATTTATATACATTTTGTATATTAATTATATATTTAATTATTAAATACTCACTTCCTCAGTGCCTTTGCTTGCAGTTCAGCTGTTGTTTGTTTACATTTTACATATGAAATATATGACAAATATTTCAACTTTTGTTGATTTCCTTGCGGCAAATTTTTTTTTTATTAAGGGTTATATTTGACATTTTTAATCTAAATTGAGCTGATTTATTGTAAATGAGCTCATTTATATGACAGACTTTTGTATAGTAAATTATCCTCATTAGTGATTATAATGAGCAAAACTCCCTAAATGAGACAATGTGAATGTGCTATAACCGCATCAAGAAGTGTTATATATAAAAAATTATATATAATCCGTTCATGATTTTTCTGATGATGACTTCCAAAAGCAAGTAGTTACTTTATAAAACCTTAATAACCCCGAACTCATATGTATACATATGTACATGTATATGTATGTATAATTTGTACCAAAAAATTTGGTCAATGGTCTAAATTCGCGCAAAGAGAATTAAATGTTTAGGATACTTGACTAAAAACAAGTTCAGAGAAACAGACAATGCTAGTAATATGTTTTCGCTTAATCTAAAATTATTTTTTTAAGCTCTTTTTAGGCGGAAAGTAATGGATAGAAGTGCGAGATTTCTTGCTAAGGAGCCAACATGTTCTGTCAGTTTTTTATTGTATTTTTTTGTTATATTGTTAAATGCAGCTTTAACGCAGAATTCAGAATTTGTAGATCCCGATGGATACTTTCATTCCTAAAATACCATGTGGCACCAGTGATTGTTCTCAGTATTTTTGACTGGGCTCTTTGGATAATTTCAATATTTGAAGCACTAGCATTACCATATTGCCGGATACTATAAATCCATATTGGTTTTATGATAATGTTATGCAAGAATACTTTATACTCTAGGCACAGGGAGCACATATTATTAATGACCTAGTGCAACTTCAGTGAGTGAGCCTTGGAGCTTCATTTTAATTTTTTTTTTTTTAATTATTTAATTTCAAAATTATAAAAAGTCCTATGGGTTCTATAATATTAAAAACAAAATCTAGTACGTGCTAACCAATTCTAAGGTATTCTTTTTGACTTTATTTAAAATAAAAAGAATAAACTAATTACATAAATATACATACATATATCAAAATTAGTCGAAAATTAACAATATTATGTATATTATTTTTTATGAATTTATATATATATTTTTTAATCATATATCCTAAGTTTATTTGACTTCAATACATTTATTTTAATAAAATATAAGAACTCTTATACCTACACTCTACAAATTTATCTAAAGCAATGATTTCAATATATTTTATTAAACAAAAATCCTTATTATGTCGCCAATTGTGATTTTTATATTTTCTGTAAAAATTCTAATAAATAGAAAATTACTCGTAATTAAATATTTTGGATATATTTTTAATGTTTATTACAACAAAAATCTAATCTAATTATCTAATTATGGACTACTCGCTTGTGGTCAACATTAATGCAATAGGAATTTTATTTAAAATATTAAGAGAGTCTAGAATAATTGAAGTAGTATTATACATACTACATATGATATACAAGTTGTGTAGCTATAAGATACTGATTAATTTAAACTATTTCTTTATTTTATGTATATTTCCTCATGGTATTTTCTAGCGGAGTATATGCCTAAATAAATACTAATTTACAATAAGACGTTAACCATAGTAAAACATGTGTTGAAGCTTATACGCCTAAATAAATACTAATTAACAATGAGATGACAGCTATAGTGAAACATTTGATGCAGCGCATCTGCTTAAATAAATAGCATGGAATAATTAAATATCTACCTTATTGAAAATCTTAATTACTTTAAGAAAAAAAAGATGGTACGTGTTCATATCATAGTATGTTATGTTCATATATCAATTGGACACCAATTTATAATGTTGACAAATACCGAAGAAACATAGATAGTCCTCATATAAAAATAAATACTCTATATGTAAGCGATGGGGTTTTCGTTAATATAGGCGTGCTTGTTAGAGAGGTTCTCATTAGTTTATCGCGTGATTGCCTGGTTTTATGAACAAAGTATTCGTAAAATACAGTATTTAGCTTTAACAAATTGTATAATGGTTCCCTCCGTTTAGGACATATAGCGTATCCAAATTTAAACTATTTTCTAAGTATATTCAAATATAATTTTTTTTAAGCTCTATCTAATTGAATGTAATGGACTTTTTTCTGCGTGATTTATCATTCGAGACACGCTTGGTCATATATGGTAACAATAAGATTTATTAAGATTAAATTGATACTAATAGCACCAGTGTCTGTGAACATGTATATATACATATGTAAAACTGATTTTTGTTTTAGTATTTTATATTATTTCTTTATTATATCCTTTTTTATTACATATAAAATAAATACGTATGAAAATTAAGCATAACTTTTATAAAATAAAATAAAATCAAAAATAATATGAATAAATAAACAATGAATTTATAAAATCTTAAATTTATGAATTAATATGTTAATAAATTTAAATAAAGTTTATACATAAATGTGAATATATAATTATAAGTAATTTTTTTTATTACTATTCCTAATTATCGAATTATACAACAAAGTCTTAAATACTGTAGGATAATATTTGTAGGTATATATTCATACTTGAACAATCTTGTTAAAATATTATAGTAACATGCAAACTGTGTTTGAGACCTACTTGTAGAGAACAATTGAATACAAATTGAAATAGTTTACTGACATGCAGAGTTCTATATGCAAATTGACTACTATTAAGTAGAAAAAAGTCTAGAGAGATTCTAATAAAAAATTGCTAATTTAAGTTTACTGTTATATGCATATAATTTTTTTATAAAAATATTATTTTTATTTAATCAACTATCTTTAAAACGCATTAAGCATTTAGTCTCTATTATTAATAAAGATTAAATTTTTGATCAATTAAAAATTAGTCTAAAATTGAAATTCTACAAGAACATTAGCCGCTACCATTAATAAATTAAATTCAACATTTTTAAAGACGTCATTTAAAAAAGTTTTTATCCAAATTGCCTTTAAGAGTATGACCCATATGCAGTTACTATCCATTTCAATCGAAACCCATCAATAAATTTCGTTTACTATAAGATTTTGACTACTTGACTAAGTCAAAGTAATGCATTGAGCATTTTGTTAGATGAAATAAAAGTAATATCACTTTCAAATTGAAAAATAACTTATTTTGGATCATATCTGGTATTAGTCCCAGACATGGAGTGACGCATATCACCCCATACAAAGAGCGTTTAAATGCATATTTAAATGTAAATTAAAATGAATAGATCAATGCAAGTACTTTAATTGATTGAGCATATAATGGTTTCTCTTTCAATTCCCTAAGCACTTTTTAAGCATCTTATCAAGCTTTATATATTTATTTCAAGCTGTTAGCAGCTCCCCTTTAGCTTCATAAAACTTTCGGTTAAAAGAGGTTATATCTTCGCTACAGACATGGCTTCTAATTAAAATGTGATCATTCCTTTTACAAAAAATTGGATAAACTATTCATTTTTGAGATACTGATTTAATTTTGTGGCAGAAAGTATATTTTAGTTAACGTTTTCGTAGCACTCCTCTTCCCGTTTCTTGTACCCAGAAATTATGAATGTCTTTTATAAAGAACGCATATATTTTTTATAGTTTTCATAGCAGCTCCCCTTTTTAATCTTCTGTTCAAAGATATTATTTCTCCACTACTGACATGGATTTTAATTAATTCAGATTTTCTCGTGTTAATTTTAAAATACAAAATTTTCTCAAACGAAGATCACCAACTACTGGTATGTATCATCTTCTTCTTCTACCATCGTACCTTCTTCTACATTCTACAAAAAAAAAGAAGTCAAGAAAATGATCAATATTTTAAAAATAGTGATTTAATAGTAATAAATGTATATTAAATTGTTATTATCGATGACTTCGATATCTTTCATAAGAATTTGAACTTTTTAATGGCACCACATGAGGATTTTTAAAGCAATTCAGTTGACGGAAGATCTTGAGCATAGTGACCATAAAATTTCTTGCCTAATTATTTCCTGATTGAACTAGAGAGTTACTTGGAACAGATTCATTTTTTTATAATAACAAAAAAACAGATCTATTTATATTTTTAGCGATGAAACTCATTTCTGGTAGAATGGATTTTATTATAATCATAGTTGTCTTAGTGAAGTAATGCAGTGCAGTATACATAATAAATGGATCTATATTAGAAATAAGATACACTGAATTTTGTAAACATTCAGATATTCAAATGCAAACTTCAAAAAAATTTGTATTTCAATTTTTACAAAATGAATTCCAATAAAACAACCTTAAATCATAACAAAGCGCACTTTTTAACTACAAAATGTATTGCATCGTTGCAGTCTGTAGCCTTGCACTTCGTTGGGGTCGAAAGTGTTGCAAGACTCTGCCTTGTCTCAAAGATGGTAGATTGCACACGAAATTGCGATGACATTGAAAAAATTTAAGTAACTATCCCAGTAGTCTGAATACTTTGCATGACCTTGAGTTGGAAGCATATGCTGCAGATGCATATATTTACAAGTATATACTGGTTCTGAGCATTACAAATTGTACAAATTGTGTAAGTTTTCAGTTGAAATTGACCGCATTCCTAACATACACAATAACAATGACTACGTAGATATTTAAAACAATAGTTCGCATGTGAGAAGTATTTTTTATACAAAGCAAAAAAAAACCATTTAACAAATTACATATGAAAATGTACATAACATATGTATATGCAACCTTATATAAAAACTTAAATACATACTTTATCATATTATCACTAAACTTAAAAGCCAAACTACAAAATGTTATAAAAATGGCAATCAGAGAAAAATTTTACCGAAAATTTTCCCATAACTTAAACGACACTACAATTATTTTGAGCTTTGTAATTGCATATAGCAAACGAATGCTAAAAAGAGATGAATAGATAAGTAAAAACTAAGCTTACCGCTTCCGCTTGTGTAAATTCATTTACGTTAGTCTCGAAATTCCATTGTGCAGCTACATTGGCCGTACACTCCAACGAACCCTTATGATCCGTTTCTACTAAGAAATTACGCAATTTCTCCAATTCAATTTGATAGCGACGATCCTGTTGTAATCGTTCACGATCCGCATAACGATCATTGAGATTAAAGCGATCCTGATTGTTTATATATGGATTTTCGAAACGATTACGTTCACCACCATTTCGTAAAAATTGATTGTTTGGATCGTATGTGCTTGTACCATAAAATGAAGGTGGTAATGGCGTAGTTGTGTAACGTTCATTGGAATTAATATTAATATTTGGATTGTTTATAGGACTATTACTGGGATTATTATAACGATCACGTAAACGACGTTGATCATTTATAACATCCGCAAAGCGATTATGATACCGTTCGTTTTCATTATCATAATTATGATTGGCATAGCGTATATCATCATTTCTGTAATTAGCACGATCGCTAAATGGTGAATCACTAGAAAAATTTTGTGAAGGGTTTGGATAGCCATAACCATAACGCATACGCTCATCATAGGTTTGACCGTACTATAAAAGGAATTAAAGGGATTACTAATGATTACTAATTATTAATGAACTTTAGAAACACGTACACGATAATCATCGATACCGTCTTCCCCGCCACCATCATCAATATAAGGTGGACCATAACGTTGACTACGATCTAAATCACCGCGTGCTTGTGTAGGTGTGACTGGTGCTGGCGAGCTAGTTGGATAACCATTGTAATAAATTTCTGGCTGAGGTGTTGGTGTATTAAGTGGGGGCAAATCAAGCTGTGGACTTGCCTGAACTGAGTCAGAGGCAATAAATATAAAAGTGCTCAAAATGGCAGTGTTGATAAGGAATTTATGATTCATATTTGAGGATATATGTATATATTTGATTTAAGAGGTTACAATTTTTTTTTTTACTTTATAATATTATTAACAATACACACTTGTAGATTTATTATACTAAACTAAACACTATTTTATTAATTTTGGTAGCGACAAAGAGATTACTCTTTTATAGTAGTTACGCAAAACCGCTATAATTTAATAAATTAAAAAACTTTTAGAATTCGTACGGTTTCTTATTTATATATTATATATATATATTTCTATATATATTTCTTATTAATATATTCGCAACTATAATATATATTTGATTAAATGTTATTTTTATTTGAACTTTTTTTATTAATTTATGAAGGTTATTTTTTAATATTTTTCTAATATTATTATTTTGTTAATAATAATTTGTTATTAGATTTTATTAAATGTGGTATATTTTTTTTAATATTTATTTTATTTTATATAATTTATTATGATATTTCATAAAAATATATAAATTATATTGCACACTTCATTAACTATTAGATTTTTTTTTTGTTTTTAAAATTAACTATTGGATTTTCTCAGTATTAGTGATAGTAGAATAGAAAATATAAGAGTAGAAAAATTTTTGTACGTTATTCGATATGGCTTGAATATATTCCACTTTAATATGTTTTTATTAGTATAATATATACTAGCTATTAATATTAACTTAGTTGATTATAGCTAAAATTTGACTCTATTTGACTCTATTTCGATTCTATTTTCCGTGATCCTTTTCGAGGATTCTTAGCACATTCGCATAACTACCGATAAGTAAAAGAACTAAAGTATCTAAAATTGTATCTAAAATTTTATTTTTTTTTTATTTTTTTTTCTATTCCAATGAAAATGTAATGTATTGCAACGCGTCTAAAACAGTACTGACAACTTCATTTTCGCATAAGAATTTTTTTAAAAATAAATTTAAGTTCGAAATTCAAATTTGTAACGTCAAAGTGTCGACGCCGAGTATGAGATAATCAAAATTAGCACTACGCCATAACTTCAGCATATCAGAAAAACAAAAAAAAAAAAACAAAAAAAAATAAAAAAAATAAAAACAAAAATAAAATAAAACGCGACAACAACAGCTACCAAAGCAACAAGTGGCTAAGTTAAATAAAACTTAAATGAGCTGAACTGAGCTTCGCTAAGTTAAGATACTCAGATACTCAGATACTCGTGAAGTAGGAAAAAAGTATTGTTAACTATTAAGCACGAAAAGTTAACAATATGCAAAAGATGTTTGCATGTGTGTATGCAATTATAAGGGAGGGTGGTGTTAATATTAAAAAATCATTTTCACATACAAAAAAAATATGTGACTGTTATTTTTGTGCAACACAAATGTTCAGATAAAAATAACTGGTACTTCCAGAGTGAGTACTTATCTTATATCCAATATGTGATATATGTTAAAAATTAAAAAAAATGAATTCTTCTACTTAATCAATAACTCATTAAAAAAATTCAACATCAGCGATATTTATAAATCAGTAACTAATTTTTATTCGTAAATGGAAAGTATCGATAGTCACTATATAACCCTCTAACCCACTAAAGTCACTAAAAAAAGAATGTTTTGTTAAAAAAGGTCCAATAAACTATGAACCTCATTCCGAGATATTATTATTTCCATACTATATTAGGACATTAAGGAGTCTACAAAAGTTTTCCACTGGTTTCCATTTTATTGTTGAGATATTGCTCTCAACTTATTAAAAGATTTGCCCGTCTCCTGCTGAACTGTCCTTTTCCAGGTTATTGCTGGTCAATCCGATATATCACAAAAATTGTCAACAACAATTGGAACTATTAAAACCACCAAACACTTTAACCCATTAAAGTCACAGAATAAAGAATGTTTTATTAAAAAAGGTCCAATGAACTATGAACCTCATTCCGAGATATTATTATTTCCATACTATATTAGAACCTTAAGGAGTCTACAAAAGTTTTCCACTGGTTTCTATTTTGTGATATTGCTCTCAACTGGTTAAACGGTTTGCCCGTGTCCTGCTGAACTGTCCTTTTCCAGGTTATTGCTGGTCAATCCGATATATCACAAGATATATCAAAGAGGTTGACACCTCTTTTGTTAAAACAAAAAGCAATTTGATCCAATAAAACCAACAAACACTTTAACCCACTATAATCACATTTAAAGAGTGTTTTATTTAAAAAGGTCCAAAGAACTATTCACCTTATTCCGAGATATTATTATTTCCAAACTATATTAGGAGCTTTAACCCAGTAAAGTCACTTTTAAAGAATGTTTTGTTAAAAAAGTTCCAACGAACTATGAACCACATTCCAATATTTCACAAAAATTGTCAACCTCTTTTGTGAAAACAGAAAACAATTGGAAGAGTTTAACTTTTGACCATTAAGTTCCTTACCGCATTGCACAGGACTGCAATATAAGGGCTTTTAGAAATTGAAGCCACTCAGAACTTCAGATTTTCAATAGGGCAATCAAAACAAAACATATACAGACCTTTCTAATTATTATTTTACTTATCTATTGAACCAGTTAATCAGTACTCTTATTAGGTACAAAGTTATCAGTCGAATATTTATTCCAATCTTCTTTACACAATTAGCATTGGGAAAGGTAAGTAAATCAATCTACTATTAATCCCTTTTCAAACCACAAAAGGCGAGCTACTTTTATTACTACGTACAATTCAGAAAGTTGGACTTTCTGCATATTGTTCTTCCAAAGTTAACAGTGTCCGTTTACACATAATCAAAGTTGTTTGAAAATTTCCAAAGTACCCTTCCTCAAATAGATGTTCCATATTTTGATGGGGAATATTCTAAATGGGAAACCTTTAAAAGACTTTATCATATAATGATAAATGTAGCAAAGTAATGGAAAATAATGTATGTACAAAATGCTTAAAACAGGGGCATCTTACTAGGAATTCTAATGCCATTCGTTGTAACAAATGTAATAAAAATCATTATTCCATATTGCATAAAGAACAGATTGGTGTTTATAGGGCTATAGTTAAAGGAAATACCAATGGAATGGAAAAAAAAACAGTTAGAAAAACATGTTCTTTGATCTACTGTACTCCTTGAAATAAAAAAGTAATGTGAATAAATATCTCAATTCGTGAGCAATACTAGATAATGGATTTCAAGTATGTTCAATAATGAAGAGATTATTAAACAAATTAAATGTAAACCCAAATGGAAAGTGTTTAATAATTGAAGATATTGCAGAAAATAAATCTAAAGTAAATAAACGAGTGAATATAACAATTAAAGCCTTTCGTTCTTATTATAGTACCAATATTGGAGTATTAGTTCTTCTAAGAATATTTTCAAATTCACTCTTTCAGAAATTAGTTATGGGACCATTATCCAAAAAAATTAAATTAACTGATCCTGATTTTGATGTACCAAGTAAAATAGATTTATTATTAGCAGCAGAAATATTCTATACTCTTATTAAAAAGGGTAGAATTAATTTGAAAGACCTACATCTTCTTCAAGAAAGTGTTTTTGGGTGGATAGCATGTGGCGCAGCAAAGATAGATAGCAAAGCCACAATTAGGTTATATGAAATTAGTTCGAAATTTATCGAAAAATGATTCTAAATATTATTGACCATATCATTATATTTTATATTCTGACAGCACTACAACAAAAACCAACATGCAAAACTTCAAATAAATTATGTCTTAATGAATTGTTATCTTCAGGACCAAAGCTACAAGATGAATTATTTAATATTTTGCTTAGACTTATTAAACATGGGTGTGTTTTTTAAGCAGATATTAAGAAAATATATAGATGAATTTGGATAGATGAACCAGATCAACAATATCAGTTTATATTTTGACGTTGGAACTCAAATGAACCACTAAAGACTTATGCACTTCAAACGGTTACATATGGAACAACTTGCACTCCTTTCTTAGCAGTAAAGTACCTTCAGAAAGCAATACCTTCAGAAAATTATTGGAATGAGAAAAATAAAAAAACAAATAGAAATATATTATCAGATGTATCAAAATTATTCGATCCATCAGGATTAATCAATCCTGTTATTGTCACAGTAAAAATTATATTGCAACAGCTATGGAAACATTGATTGGGATAAACAAGTGTCATATGATATAAAATTAAAATGGGAGAAAAATTCCGGACAAAATATATGTAATAATCCACAATGAGTAAAGTTGCATGGATTTTCAGATGCCTCCTGAAGGCTTATGGAGCAGAATATCCAACTAACTACCCTATATATTTGAACATTTATATTGCTCCTACAAATAATTAATAACAATTAATCAATAGCTATGAAATTTCTCTCTGACTTCACCTAACATTTACAAATGACATATTAAAAAAACTTCAATCATTCGATTATAGATTGCACAAAAAATTTTTTATATTTGATAGAATTCATACCTATTAAGAATTATAAGATTAATAAAACATTATATACAAATCATATACAAAGTTAATTTTTATATTTCCGTAAGTAAAGTGGCACCTTAGTTTTAAATTTAATTTTTATTCAATACATTGTCTTAACCTTATCATTCTCTCCACGGGACATATTAGAGCATTCAATTTGTTTGTGTGGCACCTACGTCATATCAAAAAAACACCAGACCAAAATTTCACACCATACATAGGCCTTTTGTAAATGTAATGGGCTCTCGACGTAGGGTGTGAAATTCACTGCTCTAATGGCAGCAGTTTTGTTTATTCCTATATTCCCTAAACAAAAAGTAAATATCATAACTGAAGAAAATTCGATGCAAAAAATTATAATACATACGCTGCAGACCTAATCAGAGTTTGTTCTACGCATTACAGCTGTCTCCAATTTTTGTATAAACTCTCTGTTATAAAAATGAAGACCTAGGCCGTGTGCGAGTTCGAGTAAATTGATGTAAAGTACATTGAAATTTCCTAAGGATTTTATGTACTGCAGTTTTTGCAATTTTCACAATGGTAACACCTAATTGACTTAATTTTTATCTAATTTACCCTACTCGAAATTCTGGTAAATACCAACATTCGCTGCTATACCGACTTAATTTACTATTTCTCTCAATTTACCATCAATTTACTCGAACACGCACACCGCCGTAATAT